GATTGATCCTTGAGATCCTCAGCTCTGTTTAGAACTTGGCTAAGAATACTCAAATCTATCTTGGCTTTTGCCCACCTGGACTGATTTTAAAGTTTTAGTCTGCCTTTTAACTTTATATCCCCAAAGATAATGGGGCTCTGGTTTTGCATCCTTGTTTGTGTCCTCAGCATTCACCCAGCTAATGGGTCTACACCCTCACTCCTGGCCTACCCTGGTCCAAACTGAACTCCAAGAGGGAAGAAGTATAGATCTAGAAGTGACAGTGGTGTGTTTTCTAAATTTTAGTCATTAATATACCATTTTTACAGTTTTTTGCCACATAGGTGGACCATCTGAACTATAATTTACTAAATATTTTTATTTACATTGACCAAGTTTCTTTTATCTACATATATACTTTTGCCTCATTCCAAGAAATGGTATCTATAAAAATCACAGAATTGCTAGGATAGTTGTTTTTCTAATATGTATTTAATATACATTCAAAACGAATACATTAAAAGAGTAGTTTTGCTATATAGTATCTAAAATCATCTCATGTAAATTTTGGGAAATAGTGATCTTGTCTAACTGCATTTTACAGATTGACAATCAGGTTCAGAGAGGTTTGGTTTGCCATCTCGCTAGTTAGATGAATTCTTGGGATTCAAACCTGACTTCTACCTCCTAGCTGAGTTCTTTTTTTAAAAAAATTACATTACACTGCCTCCTGCCTTTGCATAGATTCCTAATATTACTCTAGGGCTCTATACACAGTAACTGAGTTACCATTGCTGACATATATGAAAAAAACTAAATAACCCTACACAATATGCCTGACAATGGAGTGTAAAGCATCCGGATCCAGGACCTTACCATGAGAGAAAGAGAGGCTGCTTGACTGACAGATGGTACACATGATGGCTACCTCTGGGACTAATGTTGACAAACAGCGCCATGTTAGACAGAGGCCTGGGAGAGAAACCAATAGTTAACTACAGAACAACTCCTAAAAAATGACATCACCAACTGATACAAGAATTTGTAAGAGACTTACTTGCTCTATTGGGATGTCCACTTCTGGCCTGAGTAGAACACATCTTTGAGTTGTACTCCTGGTGGAATCTTCCATTTCTTTCTGGGATTTCAACAAGTTAGAAATTTCTGCAGCTCATTGCCCACCCTGAAAGGTACATCTTGACCTGTGAGAGGCCTCTGTTAAAGCATCCATGGAATACTCAAGTCTTCTCACTTTAAGATTGCTACCAGGGGAATTTCCATGTAAAAGTACACAGAAGTCTTTGCCAGATAGACAGAGCTCAGTATCAAAGGGAACTGTAGAAAGTGATTCCAGGAAGCTTAGTTAAGTAGCTTAAGTATTCTTGACTTTACATTTGTAGAATAAAGCAATGGTTTTGTGCTGTTTGTAATACCAAGATTCAGATTGGACTTTGCTCTTCTGTATATAGATATCCATCCTCAGCTTTCATCCAGCTGGCTCATCGTGAAAGGAAACATCTTCTTATGACCACTTCCCCTTTTCTTGACCAACCAACTTGCTTCTAAATAGTTTTGGTTTTCTCTCTCTCTCTCTTGCTCTCTCTCTGTGTGCGTGTGTGTGTGTGTGTGTGTGCACGTATATGTCTTTGATGGAGGCATTTGAAGTAATTTTCATCTGCTTAAAAAAATCTGGGAACCATGGACCATGGTAGGGATAATTTGTCTTGTTATCATTATCATCAGAGATGAGCATCAGCTCCTATCTCTATTGCCCAAATGCAATTTGATATGGAGTATGGGGACTTACATGGCTGAATTCAAATGAAAAGAAGGTCACTAAAGAAAGAGAAGGGGTGGTAGCTCAAAGCATGGTAAAGGAAATTATGTTTCATACTGAGACTGACGTGATACTATACATTACTTTCTTTTTGAAGGAACAGACTTTGCTTGTTCTTGTAGTAGATATTCCCCCAAAGTTTCATAATTCTCAGTCGTGTGTATAGGATTCGGTTTACCCTTCTTTTCCTCAACCTTGTCCTAGTGATTTTCTCTTTCAGTTCTATCACTCCATAGACTTTAATTTTTATCAGGTCTGGATCTCAAAGTTGCAACAAAAGCTTATCTAAAAGATTATCAGTAGGCAAAGGATATATTCTTGATATGATGGGTACCCTATTTACCCTGGTGTGTTTATTGTACATTGCACATGTATATGAAAATATCTCATGTAATCCACAGATGTATACATCTAGTATGTACCCACAAAAATAAAAAAAATTGAAAAAAGTTTGTCAGTATAAATAAGGAGAGTTAGTTGGAATTATAGAATGGGAAAGGCCTTTACAGATCATTGGTCATCGTAGGCCAATTGAGACAGCCATTCTTATGCACAGCTCAGATCTCCTTTTAAGACAAAACCTGCCTCAAAGATTTAAGTTAGCTGACAACGTCCAGCTTTAGGTACCTTCAGATCTGCCTCAGTTTTCAAGTGGAAGGTGTGTGCTTTCTGGGCAGCTGCCAGCTAATCACTAAGGAAAGTCAGAACATAATGACTTGCCATTTGGAAGAAGCAGAAGACTCCTCTATGAGGTATCTTTTGCACTGATCTCCCAGTTGTGTTGGCCAAGATTTTATCAGTGCTACACCACAGTCTGAAGCTTTTGCTGATAATCTTGCTTCGTTTCCTCTTCTGTTACTGATATAGACCTGTATTATGGTCTGAAGCCCTCCCTGCCCACTTAAGTTTCTTTCCCTTTTATCTTTCACAGGTATTACTCCCAATAGATATCTTGCATTTCTAATTATTATCTGCTTTCAAATGACCCACCCAACACATAAATGCCTGCCCCCTGCCACGCCCACCTGAGTGTTAAAGTAAGGAAACTGTAAAGCTGTCTATAGATGTAAAGTGACTTACACAAGATCCCTTACCTTGCTGGTAGCAAAGTCAGTTTGACAACCCAAGCTTTCTGACCCCCAGTTCAATGTTGTATCTCAAACTTAGTCATTCGTGTATAATAACAACCATGTATGCAAAACCCAGATTTTTTTTTTATCCTTGTTACTATTGTTTACTTGAACATTAAAGACATACTTTACTTTTGTTAAATCTCTCTTTTAGCCCATTTAAAGTAACAGTATCTATAAAATTTCAATTTTGATGTGCTAGTTTTATATATTTTTCGATTACATAGTAAGGAAATATATTTTCATTAAAATAAAAAAGATTGCATGTGTATACTACCTAAAGTCACCTCATGCATGGTCAGTGATTGGTGAACCCTGCATTTTTAAACACTGTGCTATATAACTTGCCGCTTTGTAGGACATACAAAGCAAAAGAGAAGGAAAGGGAAAAGAGATGAAAGAAGAAAAGAAGGAAAGAAGAAAGGAAGGAAAAAAAACAGAAAAGCAAGCAAGCAAGCAAAATATTTATTGGTGAGAAAGTAATGACAAAAAGTCATCAATAATTGCTTCAGGTACCTTGTTGTGACGTCCATATATCCTGCTAAGCCACAATCTAACCTCCATTACATTAAAAAAAAAAAATCCTTCCCGGGCCGGGTGCGGTGGTTCGCGCCTATAATCCCAGCACTTTGGGAGGCCAAGGCGGGTGGATCACGAGGTCGAGAGATCGAGACCATCCTGGTCAATGTGGTGAAACCCCGTCTCTACTAAAAATACAAAATTTAGCTGGGCATGGTGGCGCACACCTGTAGTCCCAGCTACTCGGGAGGCCGAGGTAGGAGAATTGCTTGAACTCAGGAGGCAGAGGTTGCGGTGAGCCGAGATTGCACCATTGCACTCCAGACTGGGTAACAACAGCAAAACTCCATCTCAAAACAACAACAAAAAAAATCCTTTCCTTATTGGTTGCCTAAAAACCAAATTGAAAATATATGGATGCAATTTAAGAATCAAGATTTCTCTTCCTAAAAGGGTAGATTCATTTATTCCCAAAATGGACTGAAGTGCTCCACTTAGAACAAGTTATTGGAGAAAAATACACACTATATTTGAAAGCAGTAGCTCTAATCTGCATCTTACAAAATGTTTGAATGCACATACTCCTAAGAAAGAGGTTTAAGTAACATTTCCTTTTTCATTTAAAAATATTTATTATCAAAACCAAATAAGATATTTTCTTTGATTTAAAACATGTAAGAATGTAATTACAATAATCTTTCATCTTTGTTGCTATTCTTTTGGCTTAAGAGCTTTATAATGATCATGATTCCATTGTGCTAATTAAACAAAATAGGGGTTAGAACTCATATTATGTAATAACTTAATAGATTTTTAGTATTATAGTGACAATTTAATATTTCTCTTTCATTTCATGGAGATGGTATTATTCAGAACCTCTGCCAAACAGATATTACTAATTCAGAAGCAATTTGTTAACTCCTAAACAAATTGTCCTTTCAGAGAAAGAAAATGTATAAAATAACCTTAATGAAATATTAGTTTCAACAGTGTCACAAATTTTAAAGGTATGGGAAGTGTGAAAGTAAAGATTCAAGTTGTGTTTTATGTAAGTAGAAAAGTGGCTATACACTTTGGCAGGGTCATGTAATGTACTGTGTTGAAATCTACTCTGGCATCTGGCTCAAAAAGATTTGGTAGTTGCCTGCTTCTGAAAGGACAAATGCAGTCCTGATGTGCACATATACTTGAATCAATTGGGAAAGAGTCAGTTTCCTGTGTCCCCTATTCCATGGTTTATATTTCAGACTCAATTAAAATAGTTTACATTTCAAACCAAAATTGAATCTAAAAATAAGTAAAGAATCATATCAAATTATTTGTTAAATGAGGAAAGAATATAGCTGCTTCACAGCTAAAACAATGACAGCATAATTGAAAACAAGGCTATTGCATTCAGGTTTTGGTAGTTACTGGTCATTTCTCCAAGTTTCTGGAGAACACATTAGGTACTTCATGTATTTCCTTTTTGGATGATTACAGAACAACACAAACTAAATAGGATATATTGCCCAGGGACACTTGCTTGTTCTTACCAGGTTAGCGAGCATGTAGTGATAACCTCTTGAGTGTTTCCCCAGGATCACAACCTGCAGAAAGAAGAAATAAGACATATTGCTTATTCAAGAAGGGCATTTTCAATTGCACAATCAATGGGGTGGCTAGAACAAATGCCTTTAAACAAAATGTTAGATCTTTTATATACAGAAAAATCACAGTTAATTGGACCAGATTTCTTGTTGTTGCATTTCACTTTCAACTAGATAAAACAGGAAGACTTGCTAATATCAAAGTTAAAATGTCAAAACAAGGGTAAAAAAAAAAACACTCCCTAAGCTTCCAGGTCAGTAGCATCACTGTAATTTAAAATAGATGACAAAAGTGATGAAGCTGAATATCCCCCACCCCTGAACTCAATTTCTGTACTTAGCTGTTGAGATGGAAAATCAGCTGAACTTTGCATACAAAGTAGAAAATAGAATGTATGTTATGGTTTTTTTTGTTGTTGTTATCTGGAATGCTAAGGGAATAGAACACTCAAGGAATGGGGTTAATGGGATTTTCAGGTTAACTGAGGTTGCTTTTGCTTATTAAAAACTTTTCTCAAATGCTTACCTTCCTTTCCCTGACTTAGTATGAAAGACTTGTGATCATTTGTATAGCTTTTGCTGTTGATCGTGATGCCTTAGGGCACTGAGGGGGGTCCCACTGAGGACACTTGGCATTGGCTGGAGACATTTCTGATTGTAACAACTGGGAAGGGTGCTATAGCATTTAGTGAGTAGGGGCCAGAGATATAGCTAGAAATCCTACAATGCTTGGAACAGCCCACACAATAAAGAATTCTCTGTCCCAAAATTTCAGTAGTGCTGAAGTTGAGAAACCCTTTTTCAGCATCACCATTCTTATCCTAATTTTTATGAATAATGCTGTATTAATACAAAGTCTAATAATAGGCTTTGCATTAATAATAGGCTTTGTATTAATAAAAATGTACTTCATGAATCTCAAAATATATGAGTGGCCTGAATATTTTCTAACCAAATGTATTGGTTAGAAGTTAGAAGTTTTTGACTAAATAGTTGATGTTTATTTCCTTGAAGCCAAATTCAGCAAAAATTCTGGTTAGTTGAGGATTTTTATTGAGTACTGACTGTGTGCAAAGTACTACAATGAGTACCAATGGAGGGAGCAGGATAACATAGAGGTTAAAGACACAACCAGAGGTTGAACCTGGTTTTGTACTGGCCTAAAGCTAATGTAATTGAGGATCTTTCTTTTAAAAAATATAAAATTATAAATGTCATAATTTGGAACAAGACCTTGGAAAGAAGCTGTACAAGTGAGGGGCCATTAAGCTTAAGCTTTATGATAAATTCCTCTCTGGATGCAGCTATTAAAGGGTTTAGAACAAAGTGAGAAGGCCTCAAAATTGCACACATATCAAACCAGAACTATACATTAAAGGTTTTAAGTCCACCTGTCCTTATTTAAGTACCTAGTATATGCCAGGCATGGTGCTAAGTACTTTATATGTATTTAATCCCCAGAACATTTGAACAGATTAAGTATCATTAGTCTCATTTTACAGATGAGGAATTCAGTCAGAGAGAGTTTACATAATTTTTCCAAGGCCACACAGCTAGGAAGTTGTAAAGCTGGAATTGGAATCTGGGTCCGTTTGCCTCTAGAACCCATACTCTTGGCGATACTTCACATGGTTTCTAAATATATGGTAAGTACCAAATGCTAGTAATTGCCATAAATTCTTGGACGAGTGGTAGAAGAGATGTTTAAGGCCTGAGATGAACAGGGAAGGCTTTATGGTGGAGGCCATGTTGAAGTTGACCCAGAGAACTAAACCATACATTTGACTATGATGCTGGCATTACAAGCCCTCAAGTCATTTCAAAAAAGTCATGTTAAGTGTGTGTGTGTGTGTGTGTGTGTGTGTGTGAGAGAGAGAGAGAGAGAGAGAGAGAGAGAGAAGGGGGAGAGAGGGAGGGAAGGGGGAGGAGAAAGAGAGAGAAGGGGGAGAGAGGGAGGGAAGGGGGAGGAGAAAGAGAGAGAAGGGGGGGGAGAGAGAGAGAGAGAGAGAGAGAGAGAGAAGACAAGAGAGCATGGTTTTTGATTAATTTAAAATATGAGCCACATTTCTGACTGATTATTTATGGAGGAAATGAAAGGTTAATGAATGTCTTGAGGATGTGATTTTTCATGCTTCCATGACACAAAATTAGCTGTTAGGTATCTTCTGGGATGTATTCTTCAGTGTCCGCTTGCGAGAAACATCCTTCCTGGTGACATTTGTTAACTTTTGGTGGCAAGTTGGGACCATACATTTGTTGAATTTTTAATTAACTGACAACCCTCAACATAATAAAATCAGAGGGTTTTGAGTTCTGCCAGAAAAATGAGCAGTATTCTTAAAGACATCTGGCAGAGCTTAGAGAGGAGTAAGGAAGGAAACCCAAGGAAAAGGAATGTTTCTTTCTTATCAGAGGAAGAGCTTAGTGTTCTTTTGTGCGTAGGGAAGGTGAGAGAGAGCAATAGAAAACACCAGTGTTGTGGAAAGAGCAGTGAAAGAGAACCCAGGACCCCAACCTCGTCATTCGCTTGTTTGTTGCCTATCTCAGCAGTGTTGCCAGGATCAAAATGGATAACGTATACAAAAGTGTTTGAAATGTGCATTATGTGTAAGTATGTGATGCTATATAAATGTGGGAAGGGGTCATTCATTGAGGCATTGTTTTTCAGGTTCAGAAAAACTTGGAGCTATCAAGATATCCGCTTTAATTCAGGCCCAGTTTGGTCTGCTCAGAACCAATTTACTTATTTGAAGGTAGTTCTCTTATAACATCACCCTTTCAAAATTTAGCTTTAAACTGGAAGAGACAGGAAGCTTATCTAAAGATAGGAACATTTAAGTGTCACAAGGCTGATGCATTGAAGCCCATAATTAATTTCTCATTCTTGCTTTCAGTGACTGAACTCTTACTTAACATACAGTTCTTACCAATCTTGGTTTTCCAGTTCACAGTAAATTAAAAGCTGCAAACTAGAAGGGGTGTATGTGAAGGGAGGGACTGATATTAGAAAGAGGTACATTAGTAGCAGAGGAGGCGACAGACTGACTTAAAGGAGAAAGAAGAAATGAAAAAAGGCGACAACATCATACTACCGCACAGTATAATCATGTATGTTCCTTGTGCATGCCTAAGTCATCAGGCTGTGGTTTATTGTGTTCAGTAATCTTTGCTGAAAAACCCAGGGATATGTATATTTTAGGGACGGTTTCCATCAGAAATGCTCAGTCCTAATACTTAAGACAGTAAATTTCAGTTATCTTGAAATCTTACTTATGTGGAGCAGCTACGATCCCACTGATGTGAGCTAAAGGAGGCCTCACTGCCAAAAGTGTCATGTTTTGCTCTTGGTCTTTTTTGAATTTTTGGTATAGGGCCTGTGGGAATAGGGTAGGATGGTGGGATTGTACTTAGTGTGATGCATAATAGAACAAGTTAATGGGAGTGGTTCTTGTTCAGCTTGTCCTAAATCTTTATTCTTTCCATCTCTTATAGATGAACAAGGTATAAATTGTACCCTCAGTTCCTTAATGACTCTGGTAACCAAGAGAATATTCAACTTTGCTTTTACCGTGATTATAATAGCTCTTTCTGAATTAGTTTCAGAACTTCAAGTATAAAAGCTGTTTTTATAGTCGACCATGAAATTTAAGGAAGAAATAGCAAGTCTCCAAATCCATGTTCTGTATTCACTTTGCTTTTATAAGACTTGTTGGAGATGATGGATGGCTTGATGTGATAGCAGATGTAATAAGGGGAAATGTGTAAAATGTAGATAAAATTGATTGTTTTAAGGAAATTTATTTTTAATCCTCACATATAGGATCTGAAAGAAAAAAATGCCACAATCCTTATTCACTGAAGCTTTAACAGCAGAGTTTCATTTGCAGAAGAAAGAGCTGTTAGGTACTAACACACAAAGCCATGCATATAGCGTCAAATTATTTGTCAAAGAAGTTAGTGAATCATAGTTAACCCATTTTGGGAAGACTTCCCCTTACTGGCCCCTCTCCCCATATCCACTCATCTGTGAAATTGGGGGTTGGGTATCACCGAGTCGTTAAAATAATTCATAAAATATTCATTTGGTTTTCTATGTAAGAGGCCCTTTCCTTTTCAATTTAATGTTTAATCTAGACATTTTCATAATTTTAGAAATTTGAAATGAAATTGCTCCACAAGACTACTTGAGAGAGGCCCACAGATCCGTTGGGAGGCAAAAGCATCTGTTTTTCTATGCTCACATTTTAGAAAAAAATATGTGTGTGGAGAAGTGTGTATGTTTTTTCCCCCCTTAGATCCATCTGGTATGCAGATTAGGTTATTTGTAGACCTAAGTATCTCCTTGTTTGGATTTTCTACATCAGCGCCAAAAAAGGATCTATGTATAAAGATTGATCTTGCTTTGAGTACAGAACATGCCTTGATGCTCACCTTACTCTGCTTCTCTTTGATTTAGGCATCCTGTAAATGTCTGAGGGGCTAGGAGAGAAGTGTGGGTGTGGGGGATTGCTGGTTTAATTCACCAAGTTTTTTTCATTTATTGTATGAATACTTTCTGCTTAAGAAAAAGCTATTAGACCACATTCTTTATGTTCAAAGAAAGGACATTTTTCAGTCCCCTTCATTTTTTCCTACTTCTGTAGTTAAATTTAAAAAAAAAAGATACTATTGTCCTGTGGTATCCTATTTAAGTTTGGCTGTGTTGGGAATTGAATGAGAGGTGTGCTACAGAAATCAGCCTTAAAACATGCCACACTTTCCAGAAGAAATCTTCCATATTATCAAAGGCATTCATCTTCATGAATAAAACCCCCAAGATACTAAATTGCCTGAGTCTTCATAAATACATACCAGAAGTCAATTCTGTTAGAATTATTTTCCAATAATCTTAATCTGCATACACATGCTCTCCTATAACCAAATGACAGTGCTTCATATTGTAGTCATCTGACTTGAATAAATGCACTGGTTTAGTGAGGCAGAGAATAGCCCATCACCCA